GGAAAACAGAGAATAACTATAAGATGAGAGGCAAAGTTATTCCGTAGGATTTTCTTCTTTCATTCAACCAATATTTATCAAACACCAGTGCCAGACATTGCTTGGATGAACAAGACAACGCCCTTGCTCTCCTTGAGCTTCTATTCTGGTTGAGAGAAACAGACGACAAAAAGTAATAAATAACAGGAAATGTATCAGAAAGTAATAACTGCTGTGCAGGGACTGAAAGCAGACTCATAACTCAATGTGATGTGTTGTGACTTGGAGGCCACTGCAGAGTGATGGGTCAAAGACTAACTCTCTGAAGAACGGGCATGGAAACCGATTTGACTGACAAGGAGGCTAGTCTTTAGAAGATGAGAACAGGGTAGGAGAGAGAGCATTTTCAGCTAAATGTGGCTAAGACATAGCCCCAGATGTGGTGGGAAAGAACTTGGCATGTTTGAGGAACTGAAAGAAGGCCAGAATGGTATGTTCATAGTGGATGAGGGGATTGGGGTAGTATGAGATAAGATCAGGTCGACAAGGGAGACAGGGTTGGGGACCAGAGTAACAAATTCAGGTTTTATTCTAAAGCCCATGGAAAATTGAAGATGGGAGTGTTAAGTGAATATTCCGTAAATATCAAATAGATCTTCCATGTCTTTACTGGTTTTAGATCTCTTTGTTCTATCAGTTGCTGAGAGAGGGATGATAAAATCTCCAACTCTATAGAATTGTCTATTCTTTTTCTTGTCATTTAAAAAATGTATTTTAAAGCTATGTTATTAGGTGCATATGCATTTATGATTACACCTTTTCATGTGAAATGTCCATCTTCATTGCTTGTGATAGTTTTTGTCTTGAAAATGACTTCACTGGATATTATTACAGCCATTCAGTCTCATTTGCTTATTGTTTTCATGATATATCTTTTCCTTTCTACTTTCAACCAGTGTTTTTATATATAAAGTCTGTCTTTGAGACAAACATAAAAGTGTCTTGCTTACCACCCCTCCCCCATTTTTGACAATCTCTGTGTTATAGTGGAGTGATTTTAGATACTGTGTTTATCCTTTGTAGGGTTTGCTGACTTTTGTGAAATCTGTAAATTTGTATCTTTCACCAAATCTGGTAAAATTTGGGCCATTACCCTTAAAGCATTTTTTCTACCTCAATCTCTCTTTCCGGTTTTTCTGGGACTCCAGTTAGATGTATGTTTGATTTTTGGATATTATACCAAATATCACTGATGCCCTATTCAATTTTTCCCCCAAATAATTTTTCTGTTCTTCAGATGGGATAGTTTCTATGGGTCTGTCTTTAAATTCTTTGACTCTTCTGGCATCTCTACTCCATTATGTCCATCCATTGAATTTTTTACTTTGGATGTATTTTTTAGTTCTAAAATTTATTGGTTTTTCTCATAATTAATATGTTTCTGCTGCCAATTTCTATATTTTTATTCATTACATGCATATTTTCTGTTGTGTCTTTAAGTATAGTTTTTTTTTAATTTAATTTTTTTTCAGTGATCCATACTTCATTGTTTAGTTCTAATAGCTGCATTAAATCCTTGTCTGATAATTCGAACATCACAGTCATCTTGGAATGGTCTTTGTTTATGGTCTGTTCTCTTGCATGGGGAGAACTGATGGTGTTTGAACTCCTGTTTCTTGATATGTAGAATGATCTTGTACAGTAGGATTGATACATTATAGATACTCTAAACTCCATACGCTTCTTCAGAAGGTATTGATTTTTTGTTTTAGCAATTAACTCGGCTTACTCAAATTTCAAAGCTCTGTCTTTTTATACAGTGGGTCGCAGCTGAATCTCGTTCACTTGTTTTAACCTTCGCTGGACTGCTTTGGGTCTGCCGTGCTCACATGTCATCATGAGGTCCAGCAGGGATACTGAAAGAGTTTCTACACAGAATTTTGGAGCTCTGCCTGTCTGGCTCTTGATTTTCAGGAATATCCTCTTCGACTTTCCAGCTTCTGGTCCATGTCCCTTCCCCATTATGTACGTACTTCTGGTCACTCACTAGTGTTTGCTGGTTAGGTTTTATATATATCCAGAATTTACAGTTGTTTTCTCAGGAAGATTGTTCCCTTGGCAGTTCTTTAAAGCAGATTATTATCTGAAGCAGAGCCTGGGTTTGTGATAAAATGTAAAGCCAATATGATTGGTTGATTATTAATTGGATATAGGGGGAAGTAGAAGCAGGATTGTGAGCAAAAGAGCAGGAATCAAGGATGATTATTCCTTTTTTGGCTTAAGCAGTTGGGAGGATGGTTTTTCTCATGTTCATGATAAAGAAGGCCAGGGGACGAGCATGCTTGGCAGGAGTAGAGAGGATATGGAAATGGCAAATACGTAGTTAGATGTTTAGAGTCTAGAGCTCAGGGGAAAAAGTGAGTACTAGAGATCCCAACTTAGACATCTGAATAGAATTCATATTTGAAACTGTAGGACTGAGTAGTTTTTCCTGAGGGGAATATATAACAGGTGAAAAAGGGGTGCCTGGGCCCCATGTCCTGAGGACTTCGGTATTTAGAAGTCCAGCAGAGGAGGAAGAAGCCAAGGGAGACTGAGAAAGAGGAGCCAGCGTCACAAACCACTGGAGAGTGTAGATCACAGAAGTCAGAGAAGAAGGTGAAAGAGACCAGTTGAATGCTTGCTGGGGAGTCAGTCAAGCTACAGATGAGAGAGACCCTTGATTGGGCAAGCAGAGGCCATTAGTGGCTTTGCAGGGGCATCTCACTATGATGGTGGTGAGAGAGTGGAGATGTGGTAGCCGTGGATCAGAAGTGCTTGCTCTGAGGGTTCCGCTCATTCAGGCTGCATGTTCAGCCGTGAGCTTTGGAACCACTCAAGCAGAAAGGCACTGTGTTGCCAAGTGAATGTGTCTTTTTCTGCCCAAGGGGAGACTTTTCACCTTGAACTCTGGCCTCTTCCTGCTCAGGTGACCTGGTCAACCTAACTGCCCAATTAGAGGTGGTGTTTTCCGAGCACAGATTTTAGTAAGACCATCCTGTCTAGGGCTGGTTGATAGGGCTGTGTGTTCTTTGATTAGTGGTCTTCCTGATAACAGGAAGTGGATTTTGAATTACAGCCACAGTCACTCAGACACCTTAGGCTCTTCCTTTGCTGTTGTTCAGGTTGGAGTTTATGTGGCACTAGTCTCTTTAGTAAAGCACATATTGTGGGTCCTAGTATCATTTGCCCAAGAAACTAGAATGTTCCATGGCATCGGATTTTTACAGTTCATGGAAAACTTCCGTATTATCAACATTTGTTTATACAGGTATCAGCTTGCATCCTAGGCCCCCTGGAACGCAGATCTTGTGCTCCTTTACATTTGTTTTCAAGGATAATAATTCCATGAAGTCTTACTATTTCTTGGGTTTGTTTGCTTGTTTAGGCAGAAATGTTTCCTTTGGTTCACTAACAGTCTACCTGTGTTATCCCAGAATTCTGCATTGACCTTTGGACCTACCTAAAATTAAAACAACAAAAGAAGTCAACCCGGCCAGATTCTCTGTTTATTTTCTGACTGGACTTTGGATTTTGGTGTCTGGCTTCTGTTGCCGCCCAGCTACCATATTTGTGTCTGGCATGGTGTTTGAACTCCTGAGACTTGTGTCCTGAATTAACTCATGGGGGTGAAGCCCAGGTCCTTTGGTAATGCTAACACTGCAGGGGATTGCTGCTGCCTTAGAAGAGTCTTTTCTGCTTGGATGGCCTATAACCTACTCCATTCCGCCTGCCTTCATGACAGATTTTGGTCTGTTCCAACAACACTCCGTTTTAAGCCCCGGTAGTCACAGACCTGTGACTCTCATGGTACACCGATGACAACAATTCAGGACAGTAATATGACCGCAGTAATTTCTCTATGTGTGAGCCAGCTGGCGCTCATCTGGGGCCTCGGTATTTTATACACCCTACACCCTGCCAAATGTGCCCCTTCTTTATCAGCAATTCTTATAGGATTTACTGGTTTTTGATTTAAAAACTATCAAACCCAGCCTTACTGTAAAAAGGTAACTTTCATTTCTATTTTATCATCCCAGAATAAAGAATACTCAGATATTATGAAAGTCAGTGTCAGCAACTCTCTGTCTGTTGAAAATGCTTTGTTCCCAAAAGTAAGTCAGACAATAGTAATTAATCATCGTATTGAAGATCTTTGCCTCAGTCTTCCTGCTAACTCCGTATTTCATTTGTGTCCTCATTCTCTTATCTTTTGGATTATGAGCATGTCTGTAAATAAATAAAAGCAACTTCTCTGGTCGAGGAGCTTCTGTTATCAGATTAGAGGGTTGGGACCAGTTCTACAGAAAGCAAGTATTTCTAAAGCACATTTTTAGTGTTTGGCCTGTCTTAACATGGCTTCCCTAAGTTACCGGAATATGCTGTTTGAAGTAACCTGTTTATTAATACTTTATTGTACAGCTGAGGCTCCAACCCAAAAAACCTTTGCTTTCATCTCTGGATTAATGCTTTTCTAAAATATTCAACCGATTTTTTAAAACATCTCTTTGCAGGAATCTTGACTATGTATATATATATATATATATTTTTTTTTTCCTTCTGTTTTGTAATGTTGTAGTTGAATAAGAAAAATCCCCATCCTAAGTCTTAGAACGGAATTACAGCCAGATTTAAGTGGTATTTGCTCTGGAGAGGAGAATTGGCAAGGATGGATGGCCCCTGGCTGGTATATTGTAAGATAATTGTAACCATGGCAGTGTTTGTTTCCTAATGTTGTGCTTCTAAATTTAAGTGATGAGGTTCATCATAGGAAAAAACCCATTTGTATGTTTCACGTTGCATTTAAATTATCCCAACTTCATTATTCCAACATTAGAAATAGTTGTTTCCTGTGGAGTAGCCAGCTCAGCAATTTGCTTAATCTCCCGTGGAAGTGGTTTTTGCCCAGGCAAGTAATATCTTTTAATAAAGTGAGTTTTCTGGGAAGACATACCTAACAATGGTAACTTTGAAAACCCCAGATAAAAGAATATGAGAAGCTCGAAAATGAGGAAGACCGCCTTTGCAGAAGCCGGCAAATTTATGACACCTACATCATGAAGGAGCTCTTGTCTTGCTCACACGTAAGTACTTCTTTCTGTTCTGTGCCTGTCGTTTGGACAGGAGGCAGCTTGCGGTGTTTCTAGAAAGTGAAGTAGGAGGAAGAAGTTTAAGAAATCGAGCAGTGCTCCCCCAGGACAGGACCCCCGTCTCATCTTCTGTCATTTGTTTGCTGGTAATGCTGACGCGATGCTGTTGCTCTAGCTACTCCGAGGATATTTCCAGAAGCAGGTCCTTTCACGGTCAAAAAAAAGAAAAAGGTGAAAATAAAATTGATAGCTCATGCAGATGAATGGAAAGAAAGGCTCGTCTCAATTCCAAACTTGCTAAAAGAAATTCAGCTTTCTTATTGTTAATTTGGCTCTACTTTACATAATTAGGCAAATCAAATACTGATCAATAGAAATCTTAGATGGTTTCTCTGGATTAATGAGGAAGAGTAATAATTATTATGTTAGTTTTATTAACAGTTAAATAATGGTGGGAATATTTTTTTTTCCCCTGTAAACCAGAGAAACAGTCCATTCAGTCATTAGGGTAAACGAGGTTCCTAGGAAAGTATTCCACCAGGAGTGAGTGGGAAGAATTAGTAATAAAAATTCGCTGCATAATTCACTCTGCGAGAGTTTTCTGGAGGAGTGGCCTCACGGTCAGCGCCTGCCATGTCCAGTACAGGAGCCGCTCACCCCACGTGGCTATTTTGATATAAGGTTAAGTTAAAATCCAATGGAGTTAAACATTTCCCTCCTCGGTGCCTTGCGAGCCGCATTTCCAGTGCCTGATAGCTGCCCGTGGCCGGGGGCTCCGCCTTTGGACAGCGCAGATACACAGCATCGCTGTCATGGCAGGAAGTTCGAGTGGACGGCGCTGGCCATGATAATGGTTTATTTTAGCGCGTCTGTGTTTACTGTGTCATTCACGGTTCTTACTGCCACCCAAATAACCGTGGCTGGTGGCACCTCTTGACCGTGCATTTCTCTGTTGTCCTCACGTACTTGTAGTAGACAGAATTCCGGAGCTAGTCCCAACGGCTGATGCTCCGTGACTTGCTACCTTACCGGAGAATGGCTGAACCTTGGCAAATGCCAGATGTCCTGCAGGCGTGCCACTGAAACTTCATTTTTATGTCACTCAGCAGCTTAGAGGGCTTTTGGCAGAATGATGGGCGTTTTCAGCTTTTCCTCTTGTGGCACATTCCTAAAGGTGTTAATTTGAAGTTTGGAGGGAGAAGGGAGTGTGTTGTTCTTATAGGTGTAAGCTCTGGTTTTTTTTTTTTTTTTTTTAGAGCCAGCTCCCCTCTGCTGTGGTCACAGCAAGACTTTCCTTAACCTACATCCTTCTAAGCACCCTGGCTTTTAATTCTTAAATGGATTTTCATGCATTTGTTTTCTCTTATATAGTGGAAATTTTTATAGTTTCAGGACCCCATCATTAACAAATTGAGGGATGTATACATTTAGTAAGGTGATAATAAGATTCTTTTTACTTTTTTAAAAAAGATTTTATTTATTCAACAGAGAGAGTGAGAGAGCACAAGCAGAGGGAGTAGTAGAGGGAGAGGGAGGAACCTGACGTGGGGCTCGAACCCAAGACCCTGAAATCATGATCTGAGCCAAAGGCAGATGCCTAACCATCCGAGCCATGCAGGTGCCCCCTCCCCCTCTTTTTTTTTTTTTTTTTTTTTAACCAAAGTAGTCTCAAACTCTTGTGGGATTAGGTATGTTGATAGGTGCCCCCGTGCTCATCCTCCTTCTTGACATGGTGACTAAGAACTCTGGGAGCTCAGAGGAGCAAGCATCTGCGTTGCCCACAGATATCCAGCTGATGTTTAAAGAATGCATGTCAATATAATTACCACAAAGGGGCGCCTGGGTGGCTCGGTGGGTTAAAGCCTCTGCCTTCGGCTCAGGTCATGATCATCGAGCCCCGCATTGGGCTCTCTGCTCCACGGGGAGCCTGCTCCCCCCTCTCTCTGCCTGCCTCCTCTGCCTACTTGTGATCTCTGTCTGTCAAATAAATAAATAAAATCTTTAAAAAATATATATATATATAATTACCACAGATTCCTGCTTAGTAATTGTGTTAAATTATATGCTATGGTGTTACGGTGTTACAGAGGTTTGTTACGTCTCATATTTGTGGGGGGAAAATAATGTGTTTTTTTTTTCTTAATTTTTTTCCTGGAAAGCCGTTCTCAAAGCAAGCCGTAGAGCATGTTCAAAGTCACCTATCCAAGAAACAAGTGACATCAACTCTTTTCCAGGTAAGACAAAATTATTTCAAAATAAATACAGTTGACCATTGAACAGCTCAGGGGTTGGGGCGTCGACCCCCCACGCAGTCAGAAATGTACATGTAACTTCTGGTTCCCGCCTCCAGACTTTACTGATAGCCTGCTGTTGTCCAGAATGCCTTACCGATAACATAAGCAGTCGGTTAACACATATTTTATATGTCATGTGTATTCTATGCTGTATTCTTATAATAAAGTAAACTAGAGAAAAGAAAATGTTATTAAGAAAATTATAAGGAAAATACACTTATAGTATTGTCTGTAAAAAGTCAACATGTAAGTGGACCTGCGTGGTTCAGACTTACGTGGTGCAGGAGGCACCTGTAGACTGTTTTCCATGAAGGGATGTGCACTGCACGAGTGAACCAGGCGCCCTCATCCTGGTCTAGCTGTGAATTTGCTCTGAGACCTTGGGAAAACACACGTGCCCACAGTGCTGCAGCCTCATATGCAAAATGAGAAGAGGGCTACCTTTAGCTCTGTGATTCTGTGTAAAAAAAATTTACTCCATGGATCCATTAGCTTTTAGTCTTTAAAACTCAATGTCAGTGCTGATTGTCGGTACTTTTAGTCATTTACAAAATGTGCTGCATAATTTCCAGGGCCCAGCACAGCATTAAAAACTTGGGGCCCCTTGTTCAGAAACTAAGAATTTCAAGATGGTGATGGTAGGGACACAAAACCAAGGCCTGGGCTCTTCTGAGCATGAGGCCTATGGGACTGCACCGGTCACACACCTGGACAACCAACCATGGTCCCTTGGGAAGCGTCTGTGACTTTGCAGGAACCATGCCAGGAAATAGGGAAGCGTGGCAAACAGGATGGACCTGTCCGAACCTTCACAGAGCACATAGTTGAGCTGTAGGTAACTAATAGTCACGGTGATGGATGCGTTACTGAAAATTGGGCAAGTGCAAGAGTGGGAGATGCAGGTCATACGGGTCTCGTCAGTATGTGTTCTAGATTCCTATTTATGCAGTGTGGGATTTCTTTTCCATCCCTTGCAGCCCTACATAGAAGAAATTTGTGAAAGTCTTCGAGGCAACATTTTCCAAAAATTTATGGAAAGGTATGAAACTTCATGTATGTACGTACCATTTTTTTTGAGAGACATACTTGACATGTAATATTATATTAAAGTAATAGTGTGTATATATTAAAGTAATAGTGTATGTGTGTGTGTGTGTATATAAAATCTTATATTCTGTAGGTTTACCTCATTTTAGCCAATGAGCACTGTCCTTAAAATGGGTGTCAATTTGTTCATTCGACAATTACTTACTGAGCATGTACTATGTGCCAGCCTTCACGTTAGACTGTCCCCTCAGTACTTTACTTTACTATGTAGGATTTGCATATCTTGATGTCTCTTTGAACCTGCAGCTCTTTAGCTTCAAAATGGCCTAAGATGAAATAGACCATGGAACGACAGTATTAAGAGTATCTTATTGGGACACCTTTGGGATAGCAAGCGTGCTTCTATAACCTGTTTCATTCATTCGTTTGCTCTCTGACATCCTATCCCCTACGGTGGGACAACCTCTACTTGATTCTTTACGTAGTAGAATTTGAGGTTTCTAGGCAGATGTCTGTGGTCACATGTACTATGACTATCCCTAATGAATATGTCCCTTGGAGCTACTCAAACTATACAAGTAGGTTTGTCATGCGAAGCCCTGAGTGTGCTCAGTGACGCCTGTCAACGTTGCCAGCCCACGGGCCTTTCCAGTACCCTGTAGCCAGTTGGCTGGATTCTGGGTATCCCCTCGAGATGAAGCGCCGCTGGAACCGGACTCTCTTCAGCGGAATCCGCCTTCTCACTGACTGTGCTCTTCTCCACAAACCGGGCTCATTTCTTGACAGTCGGCATGATGATCGTGTCTCGGTGCCGGAGCGGCCCACAGCTCTTCAGTAATTGCCCCTAAGAACAAACGCTGCTTCTCTATGGTTCTCCCTCCCAAGTTGTCACAGAACTGAAGGTATTTAAAAAGAAAGAAAGAAACTAAAAAAAAACAGTTGCCTTATGATGCCACTAGAGTTCAAGGGATAATTTTATCCTGGAATCAGTACTTGGGGAAACTAATATGCATACAAATGATTATTACCCTTTGCTGAGTCACCTGGAGACTTTGCGAGAAAGCAGTGGCTCATGCTGAGGGGAGAGGCTGGCTGTGTTTCAGCAGGGTCTGGCCTGCCCTCGGGTACTATTAGTTCAAAAATCTGACCTTTCCCAGGTCTTGGGTCAGCCAAGCTTCTAGGTGATCGCTGGGGAAGAGGGGAGAAATGGGGACGGAAATTAAAGTGGGGGAGGGGGTCTGAGGGGGTCTGGTAGCTCTTTCTTTGCTGACTGACCACCTGGTCAACCCGCATGTCCTTTTGTCCTACCGGGTGAGCCTTCCGCTCTTATTCCCACAAGAAATACAAGCTGTTCGTATTTTAGGCAAGCAGGTACCCTGGATTTTCTGAAGCCATTAACCATGTTACGTAAATGATTTTCAAAGTGAATTTCTTCATTTTTATCCATTTGATGTTCTTTTTGTGTTAATACATTCTCGAATGAGAATTTAAAAACTCCATTGTCAGACCAAGAGTTTCCAGTGTGGGTTTTGAAAAGCATGGACACTCCCCAGACAGAACTTCCTAGCTTTCAGCCTTATCAGAACTAGCCACACTCTCTGAAGGCCTCGTGGGGAAGGCGATTTCTCAGTGTGATAATAAAGGGGAAATCTGCAGCCAGGGCTCATTCTTTCCTTCACTTGAGGCCAGCGGGGACACAGGGCTAAGTTCCAGGCCGTGCTGAATCTGGGAAGGATGCTGTCCTCTTCCAGATGAGGTTTGTGAGCCCTGGTCCAGCCATGGACTTCAACTGCCCAGCAAAGCCCGAGTCACAGATTGGGGTTGAAAAGGCTTACTCTACCCGCCCCCCAACTCACTGCACCCCTGGTGTTTCTATATCCTTAACCTCTGACCTTCCCTCTGAGGTAGCTGTAGGTCGTCTGCAAGGGCAGTGGCTGGCAGGTACCCAGTGTTGCCCAGCCTCTGCTCTGTTCTCAGCCCCAGTGCCTCTTCTGGCAAGAAGTGCCCATTCTAGTAATTAGGTATTGACCAGAAATAGCACTCAGGGCACCTCCATGGACACACGACTGAGCCTGGACACCCCGAGGCCGTCTGTACTTCCTAAAGAAGAACTGGCTACAGAAAACCTGTATTTGGCAAAATGTATGTTTGGAGGTGTCCTGTGTGTGTGTGTGTGCGCGTGCGCACGCGCTGGGCAGGGGAAGGGGGGATAATTTTTTGAGGCAGGGTATGTGTTGGGATTTGGTTCTCTGGACTCTCTCTTGGTCATCAGGACAGTTCTCTTTGACTCTTGTTAATCCTCCCCAGCTAGTTTGCAAGTCTATAGAACATGTCAGATCATCACCCTCCGTTGCCAGCTCTGAGCTCCAGAATCCGGGAGAACGGGTATGAGCTAGCCCAGCACGGCAAGTGGATTTCAAAGTGACAGTTTGGATTTATAAGTATAGAGAACACCGGAGTGGTGTTTTGTCTTTTGCGCTCATCATACTTAAAAAAAAAAAAGAAAGAAACTGTTTGAAATAACTCTCAGAAATGCTCAAGATATAATTTGTTTTACCAACCTCACAGAGACGATAGGGAGATCAATGAAACACTCTGTAAACGTCATTTTAGATTCATTGACAAAAGATGCTGCATAATTACAAAGACTTCTTCTGCTTTTGCTTTTCCACCTCAGAAATATTTTTCGAAGATCTTAGATGGCATGTTAAATGAACCTCCCCAGGCTACTAGGATAGTTAGATGCCTTAAGGCATTCTGATAATAATAGTGGCAATTCCTGGACCATGCGCTTCATATGTACTCCCTGCCTTTCTCCCCTTCTTCCTTTCCTTTCCTTTCTATTCATTCATTCATTCATCCATAGGACCCTTGATACTGTGCCCATGTAAGGAATTGCGCCAGGGACTAGGTAAAATACCAGAGGTCACCAAAAATATTCTTTGCCTTTGAAGAGTATTCAATCTAGAATGCATTTCTTTTGAAAGAAAAAATTCTTTTTATTAACATATAATGTATTATTTGTTTCTGAAAAAATGTTTAAAAACAAACATTACAGACGGTGTTGCTCACTAATAAACGTAATGAAAATAACAACTTAATTAAATAGCTGTGGAGGTAGATATTTTTCTAGATAGAGGGAAAGCAAAGTACTCACCAAGCATTTGAGTAAATTGTGGGAGCAGATCTGCTCAGTGGGCCTACCGCATTTTGTGATTCTCGCCTAAGGACTTTTTCTCCTACAGCATTTGTATCTCTGAGCATCAGTACTTGGTCCGGGTTCAGATCCAGCCCTAGCCCTTCTCTCACTGTGTGACCTTGGCCGGGCCATGGTCTGCTCTGCTGTAGAATGGGCATTACCATTCCTGCTCATCAGACCTGCTCATACTGTCGCCAGAGGGAGAAAGGAACAGGGCCTGGCACATGGAAAGCTCCATCTGAGTGTTTGCTGCTATTGTCTTTATTAACAAATATTTTGTCATTTAGAGCTGTGTGGTCCGGTATGGGAGCCACTAGTGGCTCTTGAACGCTCAAAATGGCTGAGTGTGAATTAAGATGGGCTCTCAGTGTAAAATACTCACCGGGTTTCGCTACTTAATGTAAAAACAAGAATGTAGAAAGTCTCATTACTAATTCTGTACTGATCACATGCATGTTGAAATGATAATAGACATTATTAAAATGGCAGTATGTGTGGGGCTCACGTTAGGCCTTCTCTTGGGTGCTGCTGATTCAGATAGACGTGACCAAAACAGCCATCACAGCTTAAGGGAGATATTACATCTTGTGCCTGAATCATGAAACAAAGCCACAAAGACTGGCGAAGGCTTTGTGAGAAGGTGTTGAAGGAAACGTACCTCTGGTCGAGAAGCAACACAAGGAAAGCCATCCTCATCCGTCCTTCAGTATTGCTCTTTAGATCGATTAATGTGATATGCGACTTTTCAGGAACTGTTTCTCTTCTTTTCTAGTGACAAGTTCACTCGATTCTGTCAGTGGAAAAACGTAGAATTAAATATCCATGTGAGTATCCTCTTATTCTTTCCCTTTTTTAAATAAAAACTTCCTCTGGCTTAACTTCGTGAGAAAATACTTTATACCCTGGAGCTCACTCCCACGGGTAATCCGCTGTCTAAACATGTCGTCCGTACAACTCTGTACGGAGAACTCGTCCTCGTAAACAATTTGGGTTTTCATTCTCTTTTTTCAGAGCCTTGTAAGAATGTGTTTATTTATTTAAGAAAGAGTATTTTAAGCAGCAATTGACTCTTCCACAGAGACAGTAGCCAAGAGACCAGGCCACCACGTAATGTGCTTCCCACATGCCCTTGGCTCCTGCCATCCTGGTAAAGCCTTCCATCTCGTTCGTAGTGTTAGGTATAATCTTGTAATAAAAGTGATGACATCCTTTATTAGACCGAGGGTTCATCTCCTCTTTGATCATTTCTGAGAATGAGAAAAGCCATCCTCCAAGACAGGCTCCTTTGTAACGCACTTCCTGTGAATGTCTCATCTGCTTTCGGCTTTCAACGTCAGAAATTCCTGGGATGTCCCTCTCTTCATTTTTAGAACCCTCCTTCCCTGGTGCAGCCTCTTTTGCTCTTTTTAAAGTTTTTTACTGGCTGGTACTATTGGGAGAAGCACTTTATTTATTTTTTTTTTTAACTTCTCCTTTCTTTCACATTTCCTGGCAGAATTTTAGAAACAAGAGGGCAGTAACACATTTTTCCAAAAAATTCTTTCTGTCTGCCATGGATCTTTCTGATGCGTGTTCTCCTTCAGCAGACCTGGTGTGCTCTCATCCTGCTGTGCCCCGAGCGTCAGATGTGAAGCCTTTGGGCCCAGTTAACTGACTGCAAACGTGGTGTTTGAAGGGTTGTTTGGGGGAGCCCTTCAGTTTTAGTGTATGTGCTGCCAAAGTGAGCACTGGGGGAGCCCTTCTGGAGTCTGACTCGTAACTTGCCAGGATACATAAACCACCATGAACGTCGGGCTCACTGTCTGCCTTTGTGCCGTCTGAGACTATTAAACCTGCTTAGGAAGCGGGGCATGGCTGAGATGCTGACACAAGGAGAGGCTTATGAATGAAACCTCTTTCTGTCCTCTCCTTATCCTTAGTGTCTTGTTTCACGCTCACGTGCCCAGCATGAGTCCTCACTATTCCGTGATGTTATCGATGAAAAATTCACATGGCCCGTGTCCGTTGGGTTTTCTGATCATATGGCCCAGTCTTATGAAAATATAGATGCCCTTGATGTAGACTTGTTTTCCTACCATGACCATTCCTGGAATTGCTGAGCTGTTCCCCAACTCCCAGCTTCAGAGTAGCTAAGGACACTCTCATTTTGACTAAAAATTTCACTTCCCTTGTCTTCAGGGTATACTTCTAATCACCTAACATTTAGGAGATCGGAAAAACAATCTAACTTGACTCCCACTCTATTGTCTACCCGTTTGCCTCCCTTTTGGAGATTTTGGGAGTGGAGCGGAAGGAGGTTCTAGAAAGTCTTGCCACCTTGCGCATCTCATCTCTTAGAGCAGTCAGTTGCGGAGAGGGCAGATCCCTATATCAGAACTGCTGCTTAATAACTATGTCTTACATGAAAACAACAACATAATTTTAATGCAACTCTGTTCCATTTCGTGTTTGGAATTCACAGTTGACCATGAATGATTTCAGCGTGCACAGGATCATTGGACGAGGAGGATTTGGTGAAGTGTATGGTTGCAGGAAAGCAGACACTGGAAAAATGTAAGCTCTCTGTGGGTCTTATGCTTGCATCAACAGAACATGCCTGCATCGATTTTCGGGAACCCATCGTCTCACTCCTGGCGTGCCTTCCTTCAGAGAGAAAAGAGGCTTTATTTTGTTAAGCATTATAAATGAGATCAGCTAGAACCTCCAGTGCCTCGGGCTCAAAGGAAAGTTAACTGTGTGTTGTGAGCCCCTGTGGTTCAGGCCATGGGTGAAGGAGCCTGGGATCTGGAGGTGACCAAAAAGGGGCGTTATGCACAGCCGCCTCCTGGTCCGGTCACTGCTTAGACCCACCTGTGATTTAGCACATGCACTTCGGGGTGGCGAAGCATTCCAGGTGTCAGCTCCCTAGGTGGGGAGCTCGAGCACTGGTGAGAAGGACACCCTGCCTGCCACAAGGGTCATGGTCATGGGGCTCTGTCATGGTCTTAGTTGCTTATCTTACAGGAGGAGGTTGATGTGAGTCAGTCACGTGCCCACGGACCAGGCGTGGGCCTCTTCCAGGAGGTTAATGGTCGTGGAGTTCTTAAGGAGTGCAGGGGGAGGAGGTTTTGTGTTGTGTGTTTGTTTGTTTGTTTGTTTTTAAAGATAGAAGGAGTTTGTTTAAGTGAATATATATCTGGAAGCAAAGGAGAATGGGAAACTGTGGTTTGATAGACACCGAACTGCAAGTGTGATCAAGTGATGGGCATGTTAGAGCCGCGGCTGAGTGGAATCGTCCGTGCAGCTTGCTTGATAACCCCACTCTTGGTGTGAGGAATAATTCGGGTCACCGACTTCAGTGCCTTCCTCCCCCTGCCACCCCAGCACTGCCCAGAGTTGTCACTCAGCCTCCGCTCAGGTCTTCCCTGTGACCAGGCACTGACAGCCTTGACAAATCACCCTCCTGCTTTTCAGACAGGTCTGGTCGTGGGCATGACTTTTATCACGTGGTGCCTGAAGTTTATCTTCACTGACGTGCTCCCGCTGCTCTTCTTCCTGTTGTGGGGCCCGTGCGGGGTGAACTCAGTGTCTGGCACTCGGGCACATGAAGTCTGGTATGCTGCAGAGACAGGACAGGCCGTCGGTCCCAAGTGCGGGTCTGGGCAGCCCCCGGCCAGGTCAGAGCCACCTTATAGGAAGTTTGTGCCTCTGCCTGGCCTCTGCATCCTGGTCTGTAGAGTCAGGAAAATACTTCCTTGTCGTGAGAGGTGGATGAGATAATATATTGTAAGGCACGCAGACCGCTGCTTCTTCCGTGGTCAGTACTAGTGAGCACTATTAGTGAACATTAGTGAACAGTGAACCGTGTGCCCGGGTCTCTTGTCGCTCTTCCGTAGTCCCACTGTGGGCTCTGATCCTAAGTGATGTGCTTGTCACTTACTCCATTCCACTGACTGTTCATTTTCATATGTTCCAATATGCAGTCCTGTAATTAAGCAATTAATGTCTCCCTTGGTGCATTTGTTATACAGAATTCCTGGAACAGGAGATAAAATTAGCAGATTTGAACATCCATCTCTGTTTTGCTCTAAGTCCTCACATTGTAAGTTATGATCAGCTAGAAACAGATGGATTTTCTGGGTCCTGTCACAGCTGGACAACCATCCGTATTACGTGCTCGGGCCTTAGAAAGTCGTCCGTCAGTGGGGATTTAGAATCACGTGCATAGAGTTCTAAAGCCCCTGAAACCCTTGTAAAGATTTCCTTTCAGCTTTCTGCTAAAAAAATCATCCTGCTGTTGTCAACCTGTGATTATCTGTATTTCCTTAATAGAGTTTCTTCAAAGTTTTCAAAAAGTTTAAGTTGTTAGCTGTTTCTTCTCCACTATCATATAAAATTATTGATTATTTTTATTATTTGAAATATAATAACTTAAATATGAAGACTAAATCAAATCAGGGGAGCCTGCCTGGCTCTGTCGGTAAGAGCGTGTGGCTCTTGATCTCGGGATCTTGAGTTTGAGCCTCACGTTGGGTATGGAGAGTACTTAAAAAAAAGAAAAATCAATAAAATAGCTTTCTAGAATGTGCCTTTTTGAGCACACACTTTCCCTTTTCATTTTGTTGGTTGTCAGTCTTTTAGTCTTGCACTCTTTACTCTTGCAAAATCTTGACCACTGCTAAAAACCACAGTTCCTAAATGCTAAGTATTACACACATATCCCCTCACCCCTACACTACACACATAGCAGTACTGGGCAGCAACGATACGTGCAAAATTTATCTCACCGAATTTATATATATCCCTCTACTTTATGCTCTTATTGGACTGGAACATCTATTCATGTAATGATAGAAATATTGCATAATTATTGCTGGATTTTTTTTTTTAAGAAACCTTTCTTTTTTATAATAGTTTTCAGTTTAGAAAGGAAGTACAAAGCACAGGGCGCTCCCCTGGCCTTCTTCAGTCTACCTGTCTTACACTGGTCACAACAAATGAGCTAATACCAATACGTTATTATTAACTAAAATCTCTGCTTTATTCGGATTCCCTTCGTTTTTACCCAATGGTTCTTCGTGTTCCCGGATCCCACATTCCATTTGAGTCATCACGTCTCCTGAGGCTCCTTTAGACTGTGACAGTTCCATAGACTTTCCTTGTCTTTGATGGCCTGGATGGCTCTGAGGAGTCCCGGTCAGGGGTACCGTAGAATGGTATCCTGGTTAGGCACACTTTCCTCAGGGTTATACTGGAGCTGTGGGCTTTTGGAAGCAAGACGCCAAGACCCTGTTCTCATCACATCATATCATGTGTGTCCATCATTAACATGGCTCATCACTGTTGATGCTGACCTTGACCGCTCGCTTGAGGTCATGTCACGTTCCTCCACTGGACCATCCCTGTCCCTTCTCCTCAAACGCTCTTCTCTTAGAAAGGAGCTCACTGTGTGCGGCCCTTACCTAAGGAATGGGGAAGTATGCTCTGCCTGCTGGAGGGGGGGGGGCACTGACTTTTTTTCTTAATACATGCAAAATTTAAAAAAAATTTTCTTTGCATGACATTTGGATACCGTTTTGCTTCTTTCAGACACTTCCCAGATCTTGAGAAACTTTCCCCTGTACAACGTGTATCGTTTAAAGCAGCTTAGATATATTTGCAGTATAGTTTTTTCAATAACATTTGTTTCTAGGTATGCAATGAAATGCTTGGATAAGAAGAGGATCAAGATGAAACAAGGAGAAACATTAGCCTTAAATGAGAGGATTATGTTGTCTCTTGTGAGCACAGGGGTGAGTATTCCGTTTTGAGCACTGCTTGTTTCTGTATGCACGGGTGGGTTGGTTTTCTATATCAGGATAATTTATTTAAGGTACATGCGTTCTTTTCCAGCACGTTATGCAGCTAGCCAGTTCTTGGGTGGGTTAGAATTTCTCGCAGGGAAGAGCAGCACTAGTTAATATAAATAGTGTGTAATTCTCATATTATCTCTGTTTAATTTGGGAGTGTGAGAAGTGTTAGCGACCATCATCATCCTCACCCACGGCTTCTCCCTTCAGCGGCTGTTTATGGCTTCCTTTTTCGTGGAATGTGCTTGCAGAGAGGGCAGGATAAGCATGGCAACAGTGACGGGATCACTTGGGTCGCGTTAAGAAGCCTCTGCGAGATGGAGGACTGACCTAGAGAAGGAAGAGCATGAGGAAAGCAGCTCTTGTCCTCTATAAACAAACCGAGAGTTGAAACAGCACGGGTTCCTCAGGCCTGAATTGCATCTGGGCCTGTCCCCAGTCACTAGACGGTGGCTTTATCGCTGTCTCTCTTGCTGCTTTTTTACCTGCTGTGCACTTTGCTCATTTCCATTTCCAAGACCATGTTTCCACCTGCTGGACATGGTATTTGTCTGTCAACTGGTATTTTTAGCTCATTGTGTGCCCAAAACTTTTACCCTGTGTCTTCTTGCAAAATAGTGTCCCGTTCTGGCTTCTTTTGCAGTGAATGGTATGACCCATGAGCAAAGCCTTGGCTCTTATTTATTTCAACAGAGGTATATAAAGACACCCATAAAAACTCAGTGTCCAGCCTGGGCATGCCGGCGTGCACAAGCAGTCCTGCCATCCGGCATCCAGGGGAGATCAGGGACTCAGGGTCTTGAAGGGAAGGCAGGAAATGATAGTGGAGTGGCCCGACTCCTGCTGAGTACCTCACATGTGAATTAAGGTTAAACACCCAGACAAGAAGGTTTATGTGCAGTGAGATATATTGGGGAGGCGTGGCCTCCAAATACTCCAGCTGGGTTCTAAATAGGGTCAAGCTCACCCAGAGGATGAAGGAATCGGATTTTTAATGGTGAATCAGAGAATCCCTTTCACAGAGTCTGTGGGCTCCCTGGCTAATGTTCCTTTTTTTTTTTTTAAAGATTTTAATTTATTTATTTGAGAGAGAGAGAGAGAGAGAGAGAGAGTGAGCGCACAAGCAGGGGGAGGGGCAGAGGGAGAGAGAATCTCAAG